GGGACTGAGGGTTAGACAGATGAATAGGTGTGAGAGACGATGCACCAGCATGCCTGGTGTCCCGTGTGCAGGGGGCAGCTATTACAGAGTGCCAGATCGCAGACCTCGTTGCAGATTTTAATTACTCTTCCATCTTTTTCCACAGGTGGCAGCTGCCAACAAGAAGCATTAGAACAAATGATGCCGAGTTAATAAATTGCCTCATTCGTAATCCTGGTCTGGGTCTCTTGATTGGCTGCTCCTTTTCTGTTTGGGGGCACAAGGAAGGATCGCTAGCCTTTCCCAGTTCACATGGTTCTGCCCCAACTGGGTGAGATGCCTGGGGTGGGCGGGCCAGGACCCAGGATTCCTCCACACCTCCCTCACATCCTGCCTTTGCAATTCTCAGAAAATGAGAAACTTAAAGTGACTGTTCAAGCAGTGGCCCCAACTGGGGCCTGGGCTGTTCAAGTGGCACTCTGGCCCCTCCTGGGACAAAGCAGGACGGGCCCTGGAGTTCAGATGCTGTTTCCTTGGAAGGAGGTGGGCAAGGATGCACAGCCCTCAAGGTGAGCTGTATGTACCTGGCATGCATCTTTCCCTGACCTGCACAGTTAGGGTGGTCTTGCCAAGCCTTCACTTTGTAAGCTCCGTGACCTCATGCTGTGCTGTAAAATGGAGCTGCTAGTCGGACCCGCCCTGGAGGAGGAATGGGGTGCTAAAGAGGCGGCATGGGGCAAGCTTGCGCCTGCGCAGAAACGGCCAGGCTCCACGGTCCTGCTCGGCGATTGGCTCTCAGCACCAGGGGCGGGGACTTATGCCTGTGATTGGGCCCCTAGTCGGGGCGGCAGAATTCAAGGGCTCCGAATGGACACGTGTAGTGCTGAGGAAGAAACTATCCTGGAAAGGTCCCCCTTACCGCTGTATGTGACCAGACCCACCTTCCAGTTGGGGAGAACTCAGATAGTGAGCCTGACGTCCTCCCAGTCCGGATTACTCAAATCCGACCCATTTCCTCCCAGTGCCAAGCCTGAGCTTTGAACTCTAGAAGACTTGGGTTCAAATTCTAGCACTGCCCTTAAATCGGTACAACCATGAGCAACTCCGCCTCTGAGCCTTCAGATCCAGTCCCGCACTTGCTCCTGAGAGATCTGGGAGATGTCATGTAGATAGCGCCTTGGCTCAAGGCAGCACACCTGGCAGGCAGCCAGTCGCTATTATCCAGTTGAAAACCAAGATGTTCAAAATGGAAAGAATATCAAAGCGGAGTCCTACGTCCTGTGAAGAACGAAGCTGCCATCCCTCTCAGCTCAGAAGTTGTCAGGGCTGGAAAGTGTACTGAGTGAATACAGCGCCTACCACGTGCAAGGCACTTTATTTTGTATCATTTACACTCTGCAACCCTGTGACGTAGGTACCGGAAAAGCAACCGCAGTTTCAAGATAGGAAAATAAGTCAGTTTGAGTAATGTGCCTGATGTCTCCTAGCTAGGGGGCTGCAAAGCCAGCATTCGAACCCAGGCAACCTGGCTCCGGTCACCGTGGTGCACTGCCCCTCAAAAGTGAGAGAGATGGGAAAACGAAGCCCAAAGTCTTCCATTCCTGGGCATGGCTTTGGGACAGTCACTCCCCGTTCTGGCCCGTTTCCTCTTTGCCGATTGAAATTGACATTTCTCAGAGTTGTCCTGAGGACGCAATGCCAAGCGTCTGGTTCCCACGTACAGCGCCAGACACCAGAGGTGCTGGGTGATTGGGAAGTGGAGGTGCCCGGGCAGGCCAGCCGGGCCTGAGAGGGCTGGAGATTTGGCAGCCGTGCCTTTCCACCGCTGGGGGTCAGTCGAGAGCCTGGAAACCGGCTCAGCCACGGAAGAATGACGGAAGTGAATTTCCAGGGCGGCAGCTTCTGGACCCAGGCTTCTTCCGAGAAGATCATAAGGAGGCAACTGAAGCAAAAAAGGGCTAATGGTCTGTTATACCTTGAGGGTCTCAACAGAACACCTAGGACCCCAGAGGGTAGGGAGAGGACCCGGAGGCCAAAGAAGAGGAACTACGTCCTGGAACTGTGCTAAGCACTGTAATATCCTCAGCCTCACAAAGTAGGGGCATTATGCCCAGATTACAGGAGGAGAAGCAGATTCAGATGACCAGTCAGTTGGCAGAGCTGAGATTCAAACCGAGAATCGTGACTCTTGAAGCCCGTTCTCTTCTGTGTTTGTGACAATTGCTTTTTTAAAAAAATTATGAAATACTTCAAGCACACAAAATGGCATACATAATAGTGTAACGAAGACCCATGAGCCCACCACCCAGCTTAAGGAGTAAAATGAGACATAAAATGGAGACGGATAAAGCCCTCTGCGAACCCTTCCCAGTCACAACCTCCTGGCTTCCCCCAGAGGTAACCCCTCTCAGGAACTGACCTCCCCGCGCAGGTCTACACTTTCACTACAGATGTGCAGGTCTCTAACAGCATATGGTATTATTTTTGCCTTTTGAAAACAAGTCAACTGTATCGTGCTACAATATCCTTTTTCTCATTTTCGTGTTTTTTCTCAGATGCAGCCATGCTGACACATGAAGGCCTGCCTTTTCTCCTACTGTGTACTACTCCATTGACGGACTACGCCATAATGTATGCTTCCATTCTACTACAAATGGACTTTCTGTTTTCCAGTTTTTGTTACCAAAAATCTCACGGCAATGAATTTTTTTTCCTACGGGTCTCCGCGCGTGCTCACGCATGTGTTACCAAAAATCTCACGGCAATGAATTTTTTTTTCCTACGGGTCTCCGCGCGTGCTCACGCGCGTGTGCGTGTATGTGTGTGTGTGTGTGAGATGGTTCCCTAACTGCTCACAAACATCTCAGTAACCTCATATAATTCCCCATCCCCAGCACTCTGACCTCATTCCTTCCCACTTGACCTAAAAATGATGCCCAAAGAAACCTGGGCAGACATAGTCACTTTGAATCCCCGCTCCACCACCAGACAAATGACAGTTTAGTGTCCCCTCTCTGGGCCTCAGTTTCCTCCTTTGTAAAATGGGGGGGGGCTACCTTGCCCACTTGTAGGGAGGGTGAAATGAAAGAACACCAAGAAAGAGCCTATCGTGCTTATAATGCCTTAGGTGCCAGGAACGTCATCTCGAGTCAGAACACCAGGGAGATATTCTTATCCTTGTCTCTTGGATTAAAAATGCCAGGGCTTAAAAAGAGAAGCCACCACTTAGTCATCTTAGTCACAAAGCTGGTCAGCTGGCCTCATGTGTTCCTCGTGAGCATTAATAGCAGCCAACATTTACTAAGCACCTACTCTGTGCCGGGTGCTGTGTTCAGTGCTATCCATACACGACCCCTTCAAATTCCTGTTTCCGACCCCACAAGGTGAGGACACAGAGGCTCAGACAGGGAACGAGTTTTTCCCAAGGCCAGTAAGGGGCAAAGACCAAGCTCAGAGTCACAACCCTGACAGCCTTCGTGCAGCGGGCACCCCAAACTCTGGCTCTTTCAGGCTTTCATCCCAGAGCTTGCCAGTGACGAATCAGGCCTTGAACTAGCCTCTTCTCCTCAACCAAACAAGCTCCCCCCAGGGGATTTGTGGCCACCACAGGTGCAAGGAACAGTTCCTCCCCACTCACATCCTGAAGCACACTGGCAGGGGCCACCCCTTAGACTGACAGCCCAAGGGCCCAGCAGTGGGGCCAGCGGAGCCCATCTCCGGCGGGGCCGAGCAGGAAGTGGGGTGGAGTTTGGGGCCCAACGAGGTAGGATCTGGTACCCCACGACTGCTGCCAGCCAGACCCACCAACCCGCTGGGAGAAGATGCCTGGTGGTGCCAGACTCCTTCAAGCTCGGCCTGCCATTGTCTTCTTCGTCTTGCTTGAGGCCGCTGGCCTGTGTACTGGCCTGGGTACGTGGCTCACAGGCAGGTGCTACGTGGGGGCGGGGGGTGACTGGGGAGGCTACAGAGAGGGCACAGGCAGGGGGAAGGGCATCAAGAGGGAGGAGAGAAGAGCCAGGAGGGGAGCTGGGAAAGGCCCTGGTAGAAACTGCATCTGTCTGCTTGACTGTTTCAAGCAGGCCTAGGGGAGGCCGGAGGGGACTCGGTGACATTGAAGGGGCATCCACAGCCCCATGGAGGGAGGTGCCTTCCTCACCCTCTCATCCCCACAGGTCAAAATAAGGAACTAAGATTGCCCTTGACTAAGCTTCAGAGCTGGGGGTAGCAGGGGACTTGGGGGAGTGCTCAGCTTCAGAAGGAAGAAAAACCTTTCTTTCTCTGCCTCGAACCTCAGTCACCCCCCCCCATGCTCCCAACACACCTCTCACAGGGAGCCCCTTCTCAGTGCTGGGGGAGGGGAGCCTCATGACACCAACCACCCCGCCCTCCCCCAGCAATGCCAGCTGGCAGAGCTGTGACCATCTGTTTGACCAAGGAGTCAGAGAGGCTGCTGGTCACTCAAGGTTACAGTGGAGTGGGGACTGGAGCCCTGTGCCTGACGCTGCTGCCTCTACCCCTACCTCTTCCTCCTCTCTTCCTTACCTCCCTCCTTTCCCCTCCAGAAGAGGCAGATCAGCCTGCGGACTGGCCAGGGCACTGAAAGCTGGGGCATTCGGAGCAGCCAGGCTGGGCTGCCCCTGGCTCCCTCTAGCCACCCACCCTGCTAAGCCCCACTCTGACCCCCCCAGCTCAGACCAAGGACTGAACTCCCCCCTGACCCCCAGGTCCACACATGCAAGTCACAGAGAATGAGGGGCAGGCTCAGAAACACAGGACAAGGCAGACCCAAAGACTGACAGAAGGAGGCCCAGGGGGCCTGGGGTTAGAACCCCCAGCCACTCCTGCGGCCCTGGACCTCTGCTGTCCCATCTGAAAAATGGGATAACAAGAGAACCTACTTCTAAGGGTTCTGTGATGATTATACAAGATAAAGTGCCAGGTGCAGGGCCGGGCTGGGCTGGGAGACTAGAGCAGGAAGGCCCTCGGGAGGAGGTGACGCCCAAACTGACTCTGGAAGGAGCTGCCTGGGCAGTCTGGCACCAGGGGACCAAGTATCCAAACACTAGCGAGTTCAGTGGGGCCAAAGCACAGAGTGGGTGCGGGGAGGGTGGCAAGAGGTGGCACTGGAGAGAAGAGCGGGGACCCCAGGTGTGTCAGCACCCTAGGTGTCTTACTCTCCTCCTCCAGGATGTCCTCCTCCCCACGAGGTGTGTTTTCGTTCTCCTCCCCTAGGTAACCCCCCCTTCCCCTCCCAACACCGCGTGTCCTCTGCCCCACCCCTTCCTTTCCTCCCCAGGAGTGTCCTCCTACGCCTCCCACACACGCCCAGGAGCACTGCAGCTGCAGGGGGTCCTGTGTCCCCTCCAAAGTCCCTGACCCATCCACCTCTGCACAGGCACCAAGGACAAGACCCTGCCGGTCGTTGACCACTGGGACCCGCCATCAATGGTCGTGATCTTGGGGGATGATGCCCGCCTCCCATGCCTGCACAATAGCAGCAACCCCAGCAGCCATACCAATATCACATGGTGGCGCATTCTCCACGGCAACTACACCCACACGTGGCCACCTCAGTATGAGGGCGAGGGCCAGGGCCCCACGGGTGAGATGACCATCCCGTCAGTGAACAAGAGCCACGTGGGCATGTACAGGTGCAAAATCCACTATGGTAACAGGAGCGTACAATCCTGTGGCACCTACCTCCTCGTGCGTGGTGAGTGCCCCGTCCTGGCTCCAGGGTCCCACCACCCTGCAGCTGGGGCCTCTCGACTTCCTGTCCAGAAAGTGGGGATGGAGCCAGTGCCTGCGGAGCAGGGTCGGGGCGGGGGATGGGGGGGTCAGCAGGGCCTCGCTGGGGGTGGAATGGGGTGCCAGGGCTCTGAGCTGCACCGCCCCCCTCACAGAGCCATACCCCAGACCCTTCCTGAACATGGGGGAGGGCACCAAGAACAACATCATCACAGCCGAAGGGATTATCCTGCTGTTCTGTGCGGTGGTGCCCGGGACACTGCTGCTGTTCAGGGTAAGCCACCAGGACCAGGGCCAAGTCTGAGGGTCCCCACCTAAAACTTGGGGGAACAACAGCACCCACCTCACAGGGGCCACGGGGCCTAAACTAATTAATACAGTGACAGGATTTTAAATGGTGCCGGGAGGGGGGCATCCTAGCTAGGTCTCCCTCCCCTCAGGGCTGTCTTCACTGCCCTTCTCAGGGGATGTTCTCACTCCAAACCGTCCCCTGGGGTGCCTCCCCCGCCAAGAGTGCTTTACTGTCCCCCACCCCAGGAGTGCTGTGGCCCTCCAGATGCAGCCAAGACCAGGGGAGATGGGGGCTGGGGTCCTCCCAGAGTCTCCGAGTGCACCGGCCTCTATAGCTATTAGGCAGTGGAGACAGCCAAAAGGACCCAGAGACCGGCCACTTACTCAACACGTGGCTCTGGGCACGCCCCTTACTCACTCTGGTAGAGCACTTCCTGGCATCCAGGAGGGCGTGAAAACATATGGTCTCCCCATGTGCACCCCACCCCCCCGCAGAAACGATGGCAGAATGTGAAGTTTGGAATAGACGCCCAGGATGACTATGAAGATGAAAATCTTTATGAGGTGAGTGAAGGGTGGGGATGAGTTAGGGGCAGGTGCCTTTGCCGGTCTCATGGGGGGTCCTCACAGGCTTGGCTGGGGGCAGGGACTCAGGCATCCGGGCACCGAGGCCCACTACTCTGTTTGCGCCCCAGGGCCTGAACCTCGATGACTGCTCCATGTACGAGGACATCTCCCGGGGCCTCCAGGGCACCTACCAGGACGTGGGGAGCCTCCACATCGGAGATGTCCAGCTGGAGAAGCCGTGACCGTGACCAGCTGGGCTGCCCCTGCCTGCTGTCCTCCCAACTCCCGTGTCTCTCCCGCTCCCTAGAACCCGCTCTTTTCACAATCTTTCCTGGGAGTGTCCCGCACTGCCTTCCCCCTTGGGAGTGTCTGTTCTTCTTCCCTCTGCACTGTCCTCATGTCTGGCACACACCCTAACTCGGTCCTCCCCCTGCTGCCTTTCCCTGGCTCCCACCCACCCAGCCAGCCGGTAATGAGCCCTTAATCGCTGCCTCTAGGGGAGCTGATTGTAGCAGCCTCGTTAGTGTCGCCTCCCCCCTCCCTGCTCTGTCATGGCCACTTAGTGATAATAAATCCTTCCCCATTGCAGACCTTGGCAGCAATCATGGATCTCATGGAGACCGCCTACCCTCCTCCCATGGGACCCAGGAGTCCAGGCACGCAGCCCCTTCCTCCCTCAAACCCACACCTGGGACCAAGTGGCCAGTCTTGGCTGACCCCTGAGAGAAACAGGAAGTGCCTTAGGGAGGGTTCTGTGGCAGGCCATGTCTTCCCTGAATATGGGGGATACACAAGGAGGGAATCGAGGTGACCAGAATTATTTATGCGTATCTAAATTCCAGAATCACAGAGGATTGTCTGGTGACACTGGTACCAAATTCTACTGTGGCCACACCTGTTCTCTGCGAGTGGATTTGTGGCGGGGGGGATTGGGAGAGTCTGTGGCCTTAACTTGGGGACGGTAGGGGAGACCCAGGGTCAATGACAGAGAAGCACAGAGATGCAGAGTTTCTGAGATAGAGAGGAGAGAAAGACTGAGGCAGAAAGATAAGGACGGAGAGACAGAGATGCTGAGAAAGATACAGAGACGAGATAGAAAAGAAAGAAGATTCCGCAGAAAATAGGACGGAGAGAGGCTGACCCCTGAGACTCCAGGCAAAGCGGGCGGTGGGGAAATGACTGAGATGGCGATGCGGAGACGCAGAGACGGGAAGAGAAGCGCTCCGAGGGAGAAAGCGACCGCGCAAAAGAGGGACACCGGGGAGCGGGAGGGAAAGACCCCGACTTTGAAAAGGGGCGAAAGAGACAGAGAGAGGGACACGGACAGAAACACAGCGAGGCGGAGAAAGAGGAAGACGGAGAGACACACAGAGACGGAGAGCGGGGAGGCTGCCGCGCAGACGCGGGCGGACGCAGGATGCGACTCGGCCCCAGCCCCGCCGGGAGGCGGTGG